TCAATGAGAATCTCCTGTTCATTGAAGAACCAATCGAAATCATGGACAGGGAGGTGAAGCGTACTAAGCAAAGTCGCATCCCGATCGTGAAAGTACGGTGGAACGCAAAGTGTGGGCCAGAATTCATGTGGGAACGCGAAGACCAAATGAAGCAAAAGTACCCTCACCTATTCTAGCATTCTCAAATCTAGCTTTCAAACAGAATTTCGGGATGAAATTCCCTCTAACGGGGGGATGATGTCACAACTGGAAATTTTGTGTCATGTAATCTATACACTGAAGTTAATGTGAATCAAAAACTTAAGAACATGTGTGACACCTATTATTATGACATCAAAAACTTCAATCAAATACATCATACAAGTACTACAAATAGTCATCAAACAATTGGAAACCCTAGAAGTTCATGTTTAGGTCCACTTTGGACTAGGACTTCCTAATTGGACCCAAATGGACCAATAAGTTTCCAATTTGACAATCATGGGCTTAGAACCCTAATTGGGCTCTAATTGGACTCACATTAATTTATTTCAACATTATGGGCCATATTGGGCCTAGAATGAAATGAATTAAAAGCTTTGATCCATGAATAACCTAAACTAGTCCAACAAAAATGTCAAAGTCACATCACATTCTTTTAGGTTGAAACACACCCAAACAAACTCTAATATTGGGCTTAGGGGCAAAAAGCCCAAATTTTCCTTTTCCATTCAAAACTCTCGGCCCAAGGCCCAAACCCAAGAGGAGATGAAGAGAGTTGACTTTCAAGTGACACCTCACTATTACCTCATGGTTATCCATGCATTATATCTCATATACCCATGCATACATCACCTCAAAGTTCATTCCTTCTTCCCTCTCCCTCACTCACGGCCGAAACACACACACACATACACAAATATCTCTCAAACTCTCTCAAGAACACTCAAGAACATATCCTCCCTCTCCACTCAAAAATCTCGAGATTTAGGAAGCTTTCAAGAGGATATTTCCACAAACTCTTCATCTAAGGTAAGGATATTCTTAGATCTATTACTTAGAGTCTTTGTTTTATCAAAATCTCTTCCTAATCCATGCAAAAATCGTGATCTTACATCCTAGAAGCACATCAAACTCGAGATCTTCATCAAAGGGTGCTAGGGCCGAAAAATCACCAAACTTTCTTCCATTTCTCCTCCAAAACTGAAACCACACCCTAAGGTGAGCTTCATACCCCCTATTTTCTGTTTTTATGAGTTTTGTGGGGGGGGGGGATACAAGTGAAAGTGTAGATCTATATATGTTTGTATGCCTTGTATGATTTCTATGCTTATATGTGTGTTTTTGTGTGTTATAATGTTGGATCTAGCCTTAAAACCCCTAAAAACCGAGATATACTTTATGATTAATGATACTAGCATCAAGTATATTTCTACATGCAAAGTGTTCCAAGAAAAATAGCTAAATGGCTTAATAACATTTTATTTGGGCTAAAAACTCAATTTTTGGACATAAAATGTTAAAAATATAAAGTTAAAGGGCCCAAATTGAAATATTTCGAAATCTGATGGGTGAGATGAGTCAAAACAGTTTCCATAATGTATTTTCTGAAAATATACTTTTTTGAGGATTAAAAACATAACTTTCAAGCTTAATGGGCTAAAAATGGCATTTTTGGCCCAATAGGGCCCATTATGCGAAATTTTCTGTTTTGGAGGGCCAAAACTGTGTTTTTCTGTAAAACAGTGGACTACTAAGGTTCCAAGTACTTTACAAAGGTTTAAAATGCTTTTCCAATTTAAAAAGGACCAAAGTTGCAAAAAATTTCCAATTTGGGCCAAAATTGTAAAAACTGTGAAAAAGAGGGGCTATAACCGAAAAAAATGCAATTTCAAGGACTTAAACTGTTTTCAATGAAAAATATGCTGAAAAATATTAATTTCAATAATTTTTGGTGTAAAATGTCAAGAAAAATGATTTAAGGACCAAACCAGAAAGTTATTTAATTAGAGGGTTGAAAAAGTAAATTTTACAAACAATGAGGGGCTGAAAACAGAAAACTTTCAAGGCTAATTCAATGCACGCAACTTTATTCGGTCTCGAATCAATAACAATCCGAAAATACTAACACGACGATAACTCGATTCATACATGAAAACATTTGGTAATTCAATATACACGTGAGAGTGCACAGACGTCTACGCACCATCTTTGGGCCCCAAAGTGTAAAATCTTGTTTGTTGGGCCTAGCTAGCCCAATGACCTAATCTTAAGGCCCGAAGACTTCTACCTTACGAGTTGTTGGGTCTTACATGATCTAACACAGCGTAAAAGGACTTTCAATGGCTTATATACTATTGGTCCCCAAGGGTCCTATGGTATTGCTAGTAAAGTCGGTATTTCATGCGAGGCGGGTCAAGGGCCCCTCGTACCTTTTTTCTTCCCAACCGGTTAATGGAGTCATCGGGGTCTTCGTGTCCTCTTTCTCTTCGGATGTGGGATTACTCGAAGTCAGGGCGGTTGGATAACGTGATTAGTACGGACGACGCCTACGGGATCGTTAGTATAGTTATAAACGGGTCGTTTGTGTAACGCATGTTTATAGCAATTAATCATGCACAAAAATAATCCGACGTCGCCTGGACTTAATGACTTCGCGCGCTGCAATGGTTTTATTTTTAACTTCATGGAATCCAAGGAATTAGGAAGACATCGGGTTTTCCTAGGGTTTTTCGATACACAAGGTTTTCAAAATGTACCCAATTTTGACGAGCATTCTTCTTACAATTATAGAAACAAACAAGCATACTTATGGATCTTCACAATGTTTTCAAAAGCTCTTTTCAGAAAATATCGGATTTTCTGGTGGTTTTCAAAATGATACAAAACATTGTTTTTCAAATAACGCTTATGAACTCACCAACATTTCACATGTTGACGTTTTTTTCAAAATACTTGTATTCTCAGGTAACCAGTGAATCAAAGGAAAATATACTCAGTGATGGCTTGCAGTTTACTTATTAACGAACCGAACAATTTATTTTTGGGAATGTAATGTTTGAACAATGTACTGCATGTAAACTTTATCAGTTGTACTATATTAATGCATGGTGATGAATGTTGTTATGTTTCATATATATATATATATATATATATATATATATATATATATATATATATATATATAATATATATATATATAATATATATTCAATGTTACGGTATTCAATTAAGTCACGATATCCCTCAGACGTTTTCGCCGTCTGGTTCGGGGGTGTGACAATTTAGAGTATTCCGAGAATCACATTGCTACAAAATCATGAGGAGCGGTACGATCACGCCTTCGCCTTACCACAGTCTCCTGAAGAACCTGAAAAATATTAAACCACAACTGTAAGCCCGAAAGCTTAGTGAGATACCCCCATAATACCAACCACATATACCATACACATAACATGCTATCTCATAACGTATCACAAAACAACCATGCATATCGGGTCTACTGTGGGACTGGTCCGCCTTGTCAGGCCTTCAGTCCACCTGGTCCACCCTCTATGTCCAATCATGTCCCTCGAGTCTGCAGTGTGGTTGGTCCGCCCGCACTGGGCCTTCAACTCACCTGGTCCACTCTCTAAGTCTACAGTATGACTGGTCTGCCCGCATCGGGCCTTCAATCGGCCTGGTCCACTCTCGGAGCCTCGGCACATCTGGTCCGCCCTCATGGGGCCTACAGCCTATCCAGACCGCTCGCTGGGCCTTCGGTATAACCGGTCCGCCTTGGGTATCTTGGCCTACAGCACGAAGCAGGACCCGCCTCAACCCAACTCCAGTCCAAACAACCATGTGCACATAAACAAACAATCACATAACAATTCATATTTAGGCAACCGATCTAGCAGATCACATATCACAACATACGCTAACAGGATACCGACCTAACCGGTCACTAGCATAGCCTCACCCTACATACCAGGATACCGACCTTAACCAGGTCTCTAACGAATACCATCCTAACTACCAGGATGCAAACATATCAAAGCAATAACATAACAACAGATACCCGGATCTCAATCCGATAAAAGGGCCGGCCTTGGTGCCTTAGACCCTGTTGATATAGTGAGGATAACTCACCTCGAAACTGCCGGCTGAAAGGATAAGATCCCGCTGCTCCGAACTCCGACACGAACTCCTCCACTGAACACCAAAACACTCAACTCAATATATACCCTTAATTACCAAAATACCCCTGAAAGACAACTGGTCAACCTTGGAGAAAGTCAAATTCAACCCCTGACTGACTCTACTCGCCGAGTCAACCCGATGACTCGCCGAGTCCCTATGCTCAAAACTTCCCTCAATCTGCGACCCAACTCGCCGAGTCACCCCGAGACTCGCCGAGTCCAACAACTCTGAGTCCACTCGCACCCAACTCACCGAGTCATCCCTTGACTCACCGATTCTCGACTCAACCAGAAAATATTGGGACTCTTCGACAAGACTCGCCGAGTCCAAGAACAGACTCGCTGAGTCTAAGGCTATCTTCAACCTACTCGCCGAGTTCTAGCTTATCTTCAAGCAACTCGTCGAGTCCACCCTTGTGACTCGCCGAGTACCACCGGTCTGAATCCATACAGAAGCATTCCAGGCCATGCAATTGATCCAAAACATAGATCTAGCCTCCTACAATCCATCCATCACGTAAAGTGGCAAACTTTATGTGAATCCAAAGAGATCTAGGCCTTATTCACTTTAGAGCTAGGGTTTGGGACATGATGGCTTCACTAAGCACTCAAACACAGGAACTTTAATGCTCTCTAGGCC